TTTTTAACGTCTTCAAAACAAAACTGATTTAATTTAATCACCACAGAGACTCTTTCTACCTGCTATCAACATGGCTGATGCTAAACTCCAGGAGAGCAACACACAACGCCTTCTTCGTCTCGCGTCTTCCACTGAGGTGAAGTGGAGCGACTATATCGAATCAATTACTTCGCCCACTACAAGGAAATTTTTGTTCCTGTGTCGTGTCAGAAAATTGTTTTCATCAGAACCCATCTTGTGCATTTATAAATTCGCCTCTGCATTGAATATTGCTTCCATATCTGGTCTGATGCTACTGTTGTACATCTCGAGATTCTTGACAAAATCCAAAGAATGATCTGCAATTTCTTGACTAGGTATCTCGACTTCAGTCCTTTTCTCGCCGACGTGACGGGGCTTCCCTCTGTCTTTTCTACAAATATTTTCATGGCAACTGTTATTATGAACTTTTTTCCCTGGTGCTCCGACGACATGAATTTAAGCGTGCTACTAGATTGGCAACTCGGTCTCACTTTTACTGTTGAACTAGCTAGATGCAAACGCCACTTCTACTCTAACAGTTTCTTCTCTCGCACTTCCTACCTGTGAAACTCCATTCCGATTTATTGCTTCTCTAATAACTATAATCTTCAAAAATGTAAATGCAACTTCAATCGCCATCTTGTGTCTTCTTGAATACTGTTCCTTTTTTTGTGTCCTTTTCTTAATCCTCTCCATTCTCAGTCCTCTCATTCGCCTTTACATTCACTTCTTGTAACCCCCTGCGTTCTAATCTCATTAACGCATTGCTTGGCGTGAATCGATCAAAAAATGCGTGGAAGTGAATGCAACACATGTAGCCTGGGTTCGAAACCTGTTCGTCGACCCCACTTCCAACGCCCATAACGGTTAAGCCAAAATTATTGCATCTGGATCATTATTTTGAATTTTATTTTTTGAAGTTTATCACAATGTTTGGCACGTTTTTCTTTTTTTTTATTCTGCAGTCGTTAAGGAAACAGCATTAATCGAAAAAAATAGCTTTAAACGAGGTTTGAATTCTCATCGCCTATATCAGCTGAAAACCTAATTCGTAAGTCGTTGTCCGAATCGAAAAAGGATGATAGACGAAAAAAAGAGTAAAACCTTCAATCTGGTGTTAACTGGGGCAAGATATGGAATGTTAATTTTAACGTCTCCGAAACTAAATTTTTAATCGTCTGAAAGAACCTTCTTTGCCTTCCATCGATATGGCTAACCTCCTGGAGAATAACTTCTTGCGCTTTCTCCGTCAAACATTTCCCTCTTATAATTGGAATTATTATATCGAGTCAACTACTAAGTCTGTTGCTAAGAAAGTTGATTCAGTGTGTTGTGCTAGACAATTTTTCTCACACAAATCTGTCTTTCACTTAAAGTTCACCATTTCTCCGTGCATTGAATATTGTTGTCCCATCTAGTCTAGTTCTACTGCTATGTATCCTGAGATTCTGGACAAAATCCAAAGAAAAAAACGCAATATTAACGTTCATAACCTCGTATCTCGGCTTCAACCACTTTCTCACGGTCGTCATGCAACTTCCCTGAGCCTTTTCTATGAATATTTTCATGGCAATTGTTTTGATGAGCTTTGTTTTCTCCCCTTGGTACCTCGGCTTCACGAATGTAAGCGTAGATTGGCAGTTAGGTCTCATCATTTTACTTTTTGAAATTGCCAAATGTAAGCGTAAGTTCTATTATAATGGTGTCTTCTCTCGCACTTCTCGCACGTGGAACTCTCCTCCAGTGTCTTGCTATCCTGTCAACTACGATCTTCAACAAATTAAATACAACATCAATCACCATCTTCTGTCTCCTTCAATCCTGTTCTTTTAATTTTCCTTTCTTCTCAGTAATGTTTACTCCGTTTCCTTCACTCTAAATAACCGCTTGCATCTTAGCAGCTTTATCGCCTTGTTCGGGGTGAAATTATTTTTTTTATCATAGTTTTATTTATTTTTATTTATTTATTTTTGTAATCTTTTTTGTTTTTTTTTATTTTGGTGGGGGTGGTTACGAATGTTCACCCAATACATGACTCAAAGTCACTTAAGTTAGAGGATCATGGAATGAAATGTGTGATATGAATGTAAAAGTAGGAAGTGAACATTATGTGCATATGGAGGATAGGTAACGATTGACCCTTGAACCTTGACTTGAAGAGCTTAAAGTTGTAGCGTCCATTAACAGAGCATGGGGTGAAGAATCCTCTTCTGATTGGACAGTACGGCGCTGGTTTCCGAAGTTCCGTTGTGGAGATATTTTCTATGGAAATAGCGACTAAGCAATGAAAGGCTTGCGATTTGGGAAGTTTGATAAAGAAAAAGGAAAATCTTAATTGTGATTTAAAAACAAAATGGTTCTGAATGAACTTTGTCAAGGGTCATGCTAACGATAAAAACGTTTATATTGATCTAAAGGGCCGCGATAAAACTTGAACCCCTAACTCAACTGATTCAAAATGAGAAATAATGGCATAGATATTTGCTGCTTTTACCCAAGATTCATACAGCATCGAGTAACCTTCGAACTCACCTCTAATGGTTTTAGACCATTACACAAATCATAGATCAGCTGCAAGATCTCTTAAATAGGAGTCAAGCATGGGCTGACTTTATATTTTAAGAGATTTAATTAACACAAAACATTAAACATGAAGCATAAATTTTTAAAATAAATTGCAAACAGTCTCATGAAAAAAATTCCTTAGATATGTAAAAAAATTAAATATTAGGTTGTTGGTAAAATAATGCCCGATTTTAGAATAAATCTTTTCTGGTCTAATATATTATTATAACAGTTGCACAAAATATATTAATCATTTCAATGATTAAAGTGTCCTCTTTGTTAATTCTGTAACAATCTCTTTTAGATTTCTGTTCTCAACTATGTGACGCACTCTCTGTATACCCCATAAAATACTATTAGGTTGTTCGTAAAGTAATGTCTGATTTTAGAATAAATCTTTTGTGTTCTAATATATTATTATAATACTTTCACAAATATATATTACTTGTTCCATTGTTAATTTTATATCAATCTCTTTCAGAATTTAACCGGAGAAGAGATGCGTTTACTTTTTTGCATGAGTTAAAGCTTGTTCATAATGCCTCTGAAACTGCTGCTGGTTTCTGAAGTTCCGTTGTGGGGATACGAATCTTGAAGATCAAGATGGTAGCGTCCATCAGCAATTGGCAATCAACATCCGAAAATGCTAGACGAACAAAAACCATGCCAAAGGGCCAGAGAAATATCTCAATATGTGTCAGCATTTCAACAATATTTGACCATCTCAAGAAAATTGGCAAGGTGAAGAAATAAAAATAAATGGATTCCACATAAACTCAATGAAAGTCAAAGAGTTCGACGTTTTGAAGTCTGTTCGATTCTTCATCATTCGAAATTCGAATGATCCATTCCTTGAACGAATAGAGACTTGTGATGAGAAATAGACCCCTTCACCACCGTAAAAGATCGGCTCAATGACTTAATCATGACGAAGCATCTAAACACTTTCCAAAACCGAAATTCTACCAGTAGAAGATTATGGCGACTGTCAAGTGATCTGCCATTGGCGTTAACCATTACAGCTTTCCGGAATCTAACCAGAGCATCACTGCCAAAGTTTACTGTTGCCAGAATTAATATTGCAGACGCTCACCAACTTGGGATACGAGACTTTGCATCATCCAACGTATTCCCCTGATCTCTCGCCAAAAGACTACCGCTTTTTCAAGCAAGTTGGATTTTTTTAAGCCCAAACCCATTCCTTTGCAAAGAAGATGCAGAAACTGTATTCAAAGATTTCTTGGGATCCAAAGCTTAAAGTATAAATAAACTTGTAACTCGATGGCAGAAATCTATAGATGTTCAGGGTTCGCACTTTGACTGATTTAAACACTGTTTAAATACATCATTTCAAAAATAGAAATTGATTCGGAAATTCAGCATTATTTTCAGAACAGCTTAATAAAATTTTCTATGAGCATAAGAAGGGTCTTTTACAAAACAGTACACAACTGTTTCTCTTAAGTTGTCTGACCATGTTTTCGACTTGAAGAATACAGTTCAGAGTAAAATTGACATAAATTTATTAAGACGAAAATCTATGAAAAATACATTAATTTCGGAAATCGTTACACACGCACAGTCACACAAATGCACACACACACACACACACACACACACACACACACACACACACACACACACACACACACATATATATATATATATATATATATATGCCATGTTGAGTCATAAGTAATTTCCTTTTTGGGGAACTAATTGTAATGACGCATGTATCCTCTTAAACCTTCTTTAAATACATCGTCATAGGTGATGAAAAATGGGTTTCATCGGTCAATATTGAATGCAAAATGTAATGGATAGACAAGGATAAATCTGTACAAACGACCCCAAAAACTAAGCTCGATGGAAAAAATATTATGTTATGCGTCTGCTGGGACCGTCGGGGTATTAATCATTTAGAGCTCAATAAAATACTAAATGCACATTTATACGTCCAGCAGCTGCAACTTGTCCAGAAATGTTTGGTCGAAAATCGGCCTGCATTTATCAATAGAAAAACATTGTTCTCCTCTATGACAGACCCCATACAGCAACAATAATCGAGGAAAAGTTTACGGTCTGTTTTAATTCACCGGCCATGTTCACATGGCCTTGCGCCAACCACTTATTATTTGTTTTTTACACAAAAGGTATCGAAGAGCTGCCTGATAAGTAACAACAAGTCATTGCAAATAGTGGTGAATATATAACCTGTTAATCTTCAAAAAATTTAAATGCAACGTCGATTGTCATCTTCTGTTTCTTCTATTGTCCTATCGCTCAGTTTCTTATACGCTCAGTAAACGCTTGAGTCTTAGTGGCGTTATCGCCTTGCTTCGGAGGAAATGATTAAAACACATAATGAATATAAATTAACTGTACTTTATTTTTCGAAGACTTACAGACACGTCGCGTTGAAACACCGGTTCCCATACGATCACCGAAGTTAAGCAGCATCAATCCTGGTCAGTACTAAGATGGGTGACCGCTTAGGAATACCAGTTGCTGTAAGCCTGGTTGTGCGTGTGGTGTAATGTATAATAGCTTGGAAGTGTTAATTGGGAAGGCCCAACTAAAATTCTCATTGGGTTCCTCACTTACGCGGGAAAGGTATGACTTCACTCCTTCTCCTCCTAGCTAATTAATAAGACATGTATCCCTAAATCGTTATTATCTATAAAAAAGAATTATTATAATCTAAAAATATTTTCTGGCTTTAAATCGTCTTCAAGGGGTTGATAAGCCGTAGAAAACGAATCAATATTTATTTATTTTTTAAATATAACGTTAATAATCAAAACAGAAATTATTTACGACTCAAACAAATCTAAGGTACGTATATATCTTCTTACAAGTCTGATTTTGAATGCCTGTATGTAACCTAAGCATATTCTGTGTGTAAAAGAAACGGTGATCTTAAAATGCATTACTAAATGAATTAAAAGAAAAACAGGTGATTTTGCAAATGAATAATAAAAAAAAGGTGGCCGTGGACTTGATTCACAGTCAACTGGCGAAAATAATAGAAACAATATTTAAGGGAGATAACTTGAATTTCAGAGTATTATCCCTTATTCATTTATTAATTTCCACTTACGTAAAACACACACAAAAAAAAGATCCAGGTTCATTCTGTGATCATCAGGCTGCACGAATTTTTGCTCGAGTCGCAGGATAATGATTGCCAAAATCTATTTATCGATATATTTCCTATGTATTTATTTATATATTTCCTGTTCTATCTATAGTAGAAAGGGAGGTAAATCAACTTTAGTTAGTAAAGTTATGAATGATTATTTCCCTTAATCGTTTTAATAATCTATACAAATAAAATATTGATCTGCATTTAGACAAAATTACTTCCCGGGCAAAATGAAGCGTTTAAATAGTCAGTTCCTTTACGTGTCTTAGATTGCAGTCATATTTGTTCAAGACTTTCATGTGAGGTACTCAGATACCATTGTCTATTAAGTGATCGTTTTGCTTCAACTTGGTCTTGAAATAGCATATTTTCTTCTATCAACTGATATATATATATGTATATATATATATATGTTTCTGTGTGTGTGTGCGTGCGCGCGCGCGTGTGTGTGTGTGTGAATAGATAGCTAAATAGACAGTAGCGGTTTATCCCTTGTTTCCTGCTTAGGATTGGGTTTCCATTTTCTTCTACAGTTTCCTCATTCTCTTTCACTCTCAGTAGTCCCTTGCGTTTTAATTGCATTGTTGCCCTGTTTGGGATGAACTGATTAACACACACACACACACACACACACACACACACACACACACACACACACACACACAGATATATATATATAGATAGATAGATAGATAGATAGATAGATAGATAGATAGATAGATAGATAATATTAGTGGTAAATATACATACATATGAAAATATATAAATATTTATATATATAAGATAAGTTTCATTAAAAACAACTGACAAGTTACTGCGATTAAATTTTTATTTAAGTTATCTTGTGTCCGTATAATTTTTCCTGTGTTCGTATAATTCTTTCCTTTCTGGAGATAAATTATGTAGAAATTGTCCGAATGGTCCGTATGTTCGAGGCCTTTCTGCTATATTTTAGCCATCATATTTTTTTTTTAACTGAATGTATGGAAATTTTATGTATGTATCATGGAATTAATGGAAGCATTAATAATAAAAAGAAAACGCCAATACTCGATAACGCCAACTATGAACACGGTCACAATGTGCGATTCCGTGCTCAGAAACTAAAAAAAAACAAAACATTCCTATAAATTGATGACTGACATAATAAGATTAATATCGCCAAATCTCGCTGGTATATGGGTACACGCCATAAATAACGCAGCTAGCACACGGGCACTATACAATTTTATCAAATCACAAACTGATCATTCATTTACATACTTGTAAAATCACAGAATGTTGATAAGTTTACTCCTATTCCTTACTGAAGCCATGTATATAATATCGGGTCAAATCACACTAAAAAAAACATCGTTTGTCTTTTGATTACCGAAGTTAAGCAACGTTTGACTTGGTCAGAATTTTGATGGGTAACAACTAAGAAAGATTAGATAGTGTAATTCGTGTATGGCTTTGATCCAGAGCAGGAAAAACGAAGTTTTTTTTAAAAAAAAAAAAAACATTAATTGATATAACACATGTAATAAATGAAAGAAAGAAAGAAAGAAAGAAAGAAAGAAAGAAAGAAAGAAAGAGTGGGGGAGGTCACTGGGTGCTTTCGCTAAAATGGCTGATTACGTTTCTTGGATATTCATTCTCTGGCAGTTTTGTCGGTCGCCAAAATGACATCTGCCGTGGCTTCGGGCCCGTAATTAGTGTTTGTGCTTCTTGCCAACATCTGTTTGACAAAGCAGCGCCGGGAACGATTTGCTCTGGTATGCACTAGAAACAGGAAACCTAAGGTTCGTGTTACACATGGGTGTAACCCGCACGATACGTGTGTGTAAAGCAGAGCAGTGCATCCGAAAATTCGACGATATGGAACCCGCAGGAGGTCGATGGAATTATGCTGCCGAGGAGGTCGGTATATGATGGCTGGGGTCGATAAGGTCGAACGATAAAATTCCAAGGGTCAAAAAAGTTTAAATAGTTAATCGCACGGAAAAGAAAACTATTTACGCAACACTTGCGTAACTCAAAATAATATGTAAAAATTATATATATATGTGTATGTGTGTGTTTGTGTGTGTTTATGTATGTGTGTTTAAGTTACAACAACATCATATATATAATAAATATATTTATGCATTTAAGATATGGGTTATTATATTACACACTTAGATATGTTTGTGCATATGAAAATACAAGGAGTAGATGAGGTCAAATAGTTATTTATATATATATATATATATATATATATATATATATATATATGTGTGTGTGTGTGTGTGTGTGTGTGTATGTATGTATGTATGTATGTATTCTGGTTCTCTTACGTTTGTAAGACTGGGCTATTCTTAATTATTTGCCTTGAAAAAGCACTTTGGCACACAAAATAGCAAACAAGCGCGCACAAAACTCATACGCACATACACACACACGCACGCACACACACACACACACACACACACACACACACACATATATATATATATATATATATATATATAATTTATTCAAAAATTATAACATAAGCATGTTATAACATCACTACAAAAATAGCCATTTTGTTTCAACACTTTTGTGTCTTGTCAAGTGATTAAACTATTTACACTACTCTGTATTGAGCCCTCTTTTTAAGAATGGTGTTTTTGGTTATACCATACCTATATATATATATATATATATATATATATATATATATATATATATATATATATATATATATATTGTCGTCAGCTCATCAGTGCGGCTAGACATCCGATTGCCTCAAACCATTGGCAGGGATGAACGTGAATTTAGACGTATTTATCTTTAGACAAAGACCGGAGAACTCGATTCGTCATAACGAAGAGTCTTGCATCAGCAGCAGTAATAGTCACTGTTTACGAATTCACTTTTCTCCTCGAAGAGCTCAACCGAAATAATTTTTTCAGGAGCATGTATATATATATATCCACACTATATATTTATTCATTTTCGCTTGATGATTACTAAATGACATAAAACATTTGTTCGATTTTATGCATAATTTATTAATAGGAAATGTTAAAGCTTAGTTAATTAATTAGTTTATTTCATTTTTGGAGTCGTGATATGGTTATAGATAACGTATTACAAATTAGCGTAGATGTTAGCATTTACCAACTCCCTTCTTTAGTACAGTGTGGGAGGTGCTTCCACATAGTTGGAATCCCCAACAACAACAAAAAAATGTGAACTGCCAGAAGGTAGAGTCACAACAGAAACTTGATCCCAGTCAGAAAACCGAGTAAGGAGCGTTGATCCACTACTTAAACACCTCCTCGCGGTGACTGGGCGATATGTCCCGGAAAGGATATATTTGATCAAAGTAGCTAAGTGGTTTTGGCTACTATAACCAAGTAGTACATGGTAGCAGTAATCGACTGGTGCTCGTCGTAGTCGTAAGTAATAAGTGTAGACCAACAGGATAGCCAATGGCGTAGTCAATGGGCGTCGTCATAGACTTAAACTCTGTCGTACCTACGCGTCCGTCGGTATTTATGACGGACACCAGCCAATCATATTCCAGTGAGGGGGAACACAGGTGTATGCATCTTCCATTATATCACTGGGTGTGACACATGGTCAGCTTAATGTAGAGCGCCATCTATACAGGCTAAAGGGTAAAATGCCCCACTCCCTACAACCAGTGCTACGTTAACATTAAAATCCAGCAACCATTTTTCTTTAGGCATATGTGAGAGATACTGCTGCAGGGTTGAAAACCCGGGACCAGGTTTTCGCGTGTGCAATGTGTGCATATCAATACGCACGTGCGGACAAAAAGCCCGTTTCATAATAATGGTATTTACTCGTACGAAATGAACACAACTCGTACTAAATGTGGCACAAGGCCGATTTTAAATTGCAGACCACACGTGGTACTCCAACGTGAGACGAGAATCCAAATGTAGTCCAGCTTCATCGGCACTCCCTCTTGTGGGTACTCCTCAAGCGCCAAATAATGATTGTAATCCCCCACCTTAAGAGAGAGGTATTATCTGGGGAGACGTACCAAAACCACCGAGATAGTGAGACTGAACTTAAAGAGTTAATTTACGCCTATCAGTGGAGAGTATTTTCAAAGCATATTTATGTTACTACGACAACAGAAGCTTACATTATTTAAGGTAGAACAGGTTCATCGAGTAACAAAGTTTTAAACAACTCTCTTGTATTTTTAAGTCACTTTCTCACCCTTTTTCTACATTTCCTTTCTTTTTTCTTTCTTTCTTTCTTTCTTTCTTTATTTATTTATTTATTTATTTATTTATTTATTTCACGCTCCATTTTTCTAACTCTAATTCATACTTTTCTCCCCGCTTCCTCTGTCTCATTTTCTTTCATTCTTTTTCGTTCCCTTT